TGTGGTACACATGAATCACAGCCTGTAACACCCGTTACTACTGTGTGATACACGTGGATCACAGCCTGTGACACCCCTGTTGATCCTGTGGTACATGTGGATCACAGCCTGTAACACCCCTGTTACTCCTGTGTGATACACGTGGATCACAGCCTGTAACACCCCTATTACTACTGTGTGGTACATGTGGATCACAGCCTGTGACACCCCTGTTATCCCTGTGATACACGTGGATCACAGCCTGTAACCCTCATTAGTACTTTGCAATACATACACATAGAATAGAGTGTGTTACATCTCTCTTACTATTGTGTAATAATACACACAGATTGCAGTATCTAACAGCCCTGTTACTACTGTGTAATACATACAGAAGAGAGTGTGTAACAGCTGTGTTACTGCACACAGATTACAACGGTACTACTACTACCGTGTGATGCACGTGGATCACTGTATCATCCTTCTGACTGCTCTGTGATTCACATGGAGCGCAGTCTATATAACACTATTGTGTGAGGCAGGATAACTGTCTCTAATTCCCTGTCATACTGTGTGATATCTGTGGATCACAGTCTGTGATATTACTGTGTGATGCAAAGTGGACACAGTCTGTAACAGCCTTTTAACTGTGTGTACTACTCCAGATAACAATCTGTAACACTTCTGTGACTGTTTTTGATAAATATGGATCAGCATCTGTGTCACTCCCATTACTTCTCTATTACATGTGTCAGTCTGTGATACACGTGTCAGTCTGTGACGCTCCTGTTACTGTCGTGTGGTACAAGTGTGTCATAGTCTGTAACACCCCTAATACTACTGTTTACACAGATTCGTGTCTTAACACCCTTGTTACTAATGTGTAATACACGCAGGATAGAGTAGCACCTCTGTTACTGCCGTGTGATACACACAGAATAGACTGTGTAACAGCCCTGTTACTACTGTGTGATACACACAGACTAGACTAACAACCCTGTTACTGCTGTAGTTTGATTGCATTATGCTAAGTTAACAACAGAAGTAACAAGTGTTTATTAGATTGCTTTCAAGGACGTGTCAGAGTTCTGTCCTCAAGTCACTCTGAAGCTGTTTCCTAGGGTTAGTCTGCATTCTTTGTGTTTCTGTGCTCAGTGTGGTTGCCTTGGTGACAGGTAGGTGTACCACTTCACACAGCAGTACTTGGGCTTGAGCTCCCCTGTGTAAGTCTACCTGGTGGCAAAGGAGGAGTCAGAGCCAAGCCTCACGGCTCACCCACTACACAGTAGAAACAGAACAAGGAAATGCAGGAAAGCCAGCTGGGGCCTCTGCAGCTGTCTGTGCTGACCAGGTCCAGGACTTGGCCTTCTGAGCCTTCTCCTGGGAGACTGTAGGTATGAGCTGTGCAGCTTCACAAGATCCCAGTGCCCAGTGCTGGGGGGGGGGGGGGGGGGGGGGGGGGGGGGGGGGGGGGGGGGGGGGGGGGGGGGGGGGGGGGGGGGGGGGGGGGGGGGTGTTCAGCTGTACCCAGTCCTGAGCAGGGTGAGGGGTCCAGCCCCTTGTCCCTGTGCCCAGTGCTGTCTGTCTATGTGGTCCAGCCCCATGTCCCTGTACCCAGTTGGCGGCTGGGGGTGGTGTCCAGCCCCAGGTCCCTGTGCCCAGTGCTATGTCTCTGTATGTGGTGCAGCCCCACGTCCTTGTACCCAGACATGCATGTAGGACCCAGCCCTAGGGTCCAGTGTCCAGTACTGTGTCCAGTACTGCGTCACATGGGGTCGAGCCCCAAGGTCCCCGTGCCCAGAGCTGTGTCAGTGTGGGTCCAGTGCCAGGGTCCCTGTGCTGTGTCTGTGTGGAATTGAACCCCAGGTTCCATATGCCCAGTGCTGTGTCTATAGGGGGCCCAGCCTTGAGGTCCCTGGGCCCAGTGCTATGTTTGTATGAGGTCAAACCCCAGGGTCCCTGTGCCCAATGCTGTGTCTATGTGGGTTCAGTGCCAGGGTCCCTGTGTCCAGTGCTGTGTCTGTGTGGGGCCCAGCCCCAGGGTCCCTGTACCTAGAACTGTGTCTATGTGGGGCCCTCCCCCAGGGTCCCTGTGCCCATCGCTGTGTCTGTGTGCCTAGTACTTTGTCTGTGTGGGGCCCTCCCCCACGGTCCCTATGCCTAGTGCTGTGTCTGCGTGGGGCCCAGCCCCAGGGTCCCTGTACCTAGTACTGTGTCTGTGGAGGAGTCCAGTGCCAGGGTCCCTGTGCCCAGTGATGTGTTTGTATGGGACTAGTCCAAGAGTTCCTATGTCCAGTGCTATGTCTATGTGGAATCCAGCCCTGGGGTAGCTAAGGTCATTTTGCTCCCTGTATCTGCACCAAATTTCATATTAAATTAATGTAATATCAAGTAATTTAAAATAATTCCTGTACATAATTTTGTAATAGTTCATGCCAGTGACTATTATAGATATAATAATACCTTTTACATGAATTGTCTTACAGAATTGCATGATGACAATAAATCCACATTATACATCATGTTATTGTTGTTATGTGCCGTCGAGTCGCTTGCGATTCATAATGACCCTATGTACAACAGCCCTAAATGCTGCTCTGTCCTGTGCCAGTCACACTGTCTCTGACACTCCCATCCCGATTACCCCAGTCACTGAGTCAATCCACCTCATAGAGGGCCTTCCTCTCCTGCGCTGTCCCTCCACCCTCCCAAGCATGATGTCCCTCTCCAGGGACCAGTCCCTCCTCACAGCATGTCCAAAGTATGTTAGACGGAGCCTCAGAATCCCTGCCTCCAAGGAGTCACCCGGTTTAACCCTTTCCAGGATGAATCTGTTTGTTTTCCTAGCAGTCCATGGTACCCTCAATACTCTTCTCCAGCACCACAACTCAAAGGCATCAATTCTCCTTCTATCCTCCTTGGTTATTGTCCAACTTTCTGATGCATAACAAGTGATTGCAAAGACCATGGCCTGTATCACACGCACCTTAGTCTCCAGAGAGACACCATTGCTCTTCAGGACTCTGGCCTCTTACTGGGCACAGAGATGAGGTGACCATTGTGGTGTAGGCACTTCTCATATTTTATTCTTCTGTATTTTCTGTCTGTTTAAACGCTATAAAATTACCCTATCCTTCTGTGGTGTAAAATTGGAAAACCAAGCTTTTGTGAGCTCATGGGCCAGAGAGAGTAACAGCTTCTACACAAACACTGGTTTCTGTAGTACCTTCTTGAACTTATGCTGAACTGTAAGCATTGCCTCTTCTACCCAAAGTTCTTTGATCTTCATGGTGGAAAGTGGCCCATCGGTGTTGTCTTGTTTTGAAGTCATTAAGTTTGGCCATTGGAGAAAAGGCTTCTCCTCCCTTTACTTGTCCCTTGCCATTGACCTGAGCCTGGGCAGGGCCAGACCCTGTTCTCAAGGAAGAGAATAGCCATGCACTTTCTAATGTTTATGTTCTTGGATGTCTTCATGCATAAGATAACATGTGTCTTTTTCAAAGGCCATTTTAAAAGTAAAGATTAGATTTTTCTTTTTAACTTGCCAGTCTAAATTCATTCTGAGATAAATTTATATCAGATCAAGCAGTCATGATATTTTTCAGAAAATTGTTAATTAGAGAGTTTTATATCTGTACTCATCCTTTAAAAGATCTCTGTAAGGACCACTTTCCTGTTTTTGCAGGTACTGTAATAGGTGTTGTCATTTATACTGGAAAAGAGACTCGAAGTGTAATGAACACATCCAATCCCAAAAATAAGGTAGGCTAGATTAAGGAGCATCTGCTTTCACAAACTTGCTTTTTTCCCCCCCTGTAAAAAGGTTCATGTACTTCTGAATAGCATATTTATTTTAGCTTAATATGTAATATAAAATCGGACTTTTTAAAATGTTGGTACTTTAGAATGTAAAGTTCTGTGTGTTTGTATAACAAAATTTTCCAACGGAAGATTGTCTAAAAATACTTGGTCTTGGCTAATCAGAGTATTGTCTATCCCTTAATTGTTTGGTTTTTTCCTCTTAAATTTTAACTGCTAGATACATACTTTGCTCATAATTTGATAGTTAATTATAGGTCTTTAATCCTCATTTTCAATCTACTTGTTTTACAATATGTATTCTTAATTTTAATGTGAGTGGTTTATTTTTAAATTAAAGACATTTATGTTAGTATTTTCTTTGCATTTAATTTGGTCCTGTTAGATATAAAGACTTTGTTAAATAATTTCCATTTCAATAAAAGCATATTCAAAATCAAGTTTTAATTTTAAAGACTGACTTACTTGATTATGTTCTAGAATTACTCTTTATACAATCTAAGTGTGTGTCAGTAAAATCAGAACTGAAAGTTTGAATATTCAGTAATCATTAGGGTAACAGACTATTTGATCAAATAAAAAAGATATCCTCATGTACAATTAATGAGAAGCTCTGAGTAACTGAATTTTATCATTTTTATATGAAATATAATCTACTGTTTCTAAGTAGAGTAAGATATTCTTATATAAATTTATCCCTCATTTTGTGATTAAGTAATAGTTAAGGTCATTTGCAGTAAATTCTCTACAAATCATTAGAAACCATTATATTCAAAAGTAACTTTTGGGAAAAATTATTCCATTTGAAATGCCCTTAAAAAATAGTCATTCTTTCAGAACTTTTAAAGATGACATTGACTGTGCAGTTTGTGGAGCCCATCAGCAGGATCGTGTTTTACTAACATCTTCTCAGAGTGTCCCTGTCACATACACGTCCAGCCACAGCTAATGAAACCTGTCTCCGTGTTCTGTGAGGACTCTGAGGGACAATTTTTCAGTGTGGATGTCCTTGGTACATGCATATGCATATCTAATGTCCCCAGTCATGTGAAGTCTCTGAGGTACAGTTATTGATTGGGAGCATAGCCATGCCATCATCTCTTGCCATTGATGATCTCTGGATCTAACTCAGAGAAAGCAAAGCAGTCACAAGAGTTGTTTCTGAAGGTATAGTCACAGAGTCGTCGATGAGGGGATGATGGATACAGGGGTCATTACTGATGGGATGGTGGGAACAGAGGTCATTACTGCAGGGATGGTGGGTGTAGGGGTCATTACTGTGGGGATGGTGAGTTGTAATCTTAAGAACTATAGCTGAAAAGATGGTGGGTTGTGACCATATGAGACATTGCTGAGGAGATGGATTATGATCAGAGAGGCTGTTGCTGAGAAAATTGTTGTTGTTGTATGCCATCAAGTCAGAACTGACTACAGCTGATGCTCCAGTGGGTTTTCGGAGGCTGCAAATCACTTGGGATGAGATCACCTACCTTTCTCCGGGGAACAACTGGTAGATTTCGATCATGAGACTTTAGGTTGATATCAAGCCACCAGAGCTTCCTGATGAGAAGATTGGGTTGTTTTCCCAGGAGCCATTTGTTGCTGAGGGGAACTTTTGCTGAACGATGATGTGTTGTATAAAGAGTGAAAGCAGCATGGGGGCAGCTCCATGGGGGCAACTCCCCCTGACCTCTTTTAGCATCACAGTGAGAGACAGTCTCCATCAACAATATCTAAAATGTCAGACATTGCCCTCACACTCCTGAATCTACTTTTACTGATTCTAACAGTAGTCGTACTGCTCTATAATGGGGCCTGAAATCTACTGCAGTGACCACATAGACCTAACAGAACTGTACTGATAGTTGTATATTGCAGCCTTAAATACAAATTGATGCTTAACATCAAGAAAACAAAAATTCTCACCACTGGGCCAATTGGCAGCATTTGTTAGACAGTGAAGAGATTGAGATTGATAACAGCTTTTGCTTGCTTGGCTCCACAATCAATAATCTTGATACCAGCAGTCAGGAAATCAAAAGATGAATTGCAGTGGGCAAAGGCTGCTGTCAGGAACCTCTCCAGAGTACTGAAGAGCAGTGATGTCAGTCTGGAGACTTAGGTGTGCCTGATCCAGGCCATGGTCTTCACAATTATTATTGTCAGAAAGCTGGACAATGAATAGTTATAATAGAGAAATGATTCGTTTGAGCTGTGGTGTTAGAGAAGAGTATTGAATATACCATGGATAGCTAGAACAAACAGTTTCATCCTACAGAGAATGAAACCAGGCTGCTCCTTGGAGACAAGTATTCTGAAGTTCCATCTGACATACCTTGGGCATGTTTCAAGAAGGGATGAGTACTTGGAGAGGAACATTATGCCTGGAAGGGTAGAGGAACAGTGCAAGAGAGGAAGACCTTTGATGAGGTGGATTGATTCAGAGGGTGGAGTAATGAGAGTAGGTGTGTTAGAGACAATAAGGTTGGCACAGCATGATAGAGCAAGATTCAGGTCTGTTGTATGTGGGGTCACTATGGCGATTTGACCGCACATCACAACACAATAGGTTACAGTTCAGGGTGGCAGCAGAATGCAGTTCTTCAGTCCAGACAGTTTCTCAAGCATAGTTGCAGGCCCTTTAACCCTCAAGTTCACAGCTTACGTCACTGTTAAAAATTAAATTCCCTTTGTGATTTTGGGGGTGTTATGTGTCATCTACTTACCTGCAATTCATAGCAGTAGCTCTGTACAATAGCTCTGAACCCTGCCCTATCCTGAGCCAATTCCTCTGCCTCTGACACACCTGCTCCTATTACCCTGACTGTGTCAATTCATTTTCTCCAGGGTCTTCCTTTCCTTCACTGACCCTCCACCCTTCAAGCATGATGTCCTTTTCCAAGGACTGGTCCTACCTGATGACATGCCTAAAACTATGTCAGGCGGAGTTTCACAATCTTTGCCTCCAGGGAACAACTTGGTTTACCTTCTCAAGGGCAGATCTGTTTGGCAGACAATACTCTCTCGAGCACCACAACTCCAAAGTGTCAATTCTTCGATCACCTGTAGTCATTGTCTAGCTCTCTGATACCTAGCAAGTAATTGTGAAGGCCATGGCCTGGATCAGGTTTACCTTAGTCTCTAGACTGACATCTTTGCTCTTCAGTACTCTAGAGAGGTCCCTGATAGCATATTTACTTAATGAAGTCTGTCTTTTGATTTCCTGACTGCTGGTGCCAAGAGTGTTGGTTGTGGACCTGAGCAAGCTGAAATGAACATATTCAATCACTGCTTCATCTGTTATGATCCTGCCAGTTGGCTGAGAGGTCAGAATCTTTATTTTCTCAATGTTGAGTTTCAATGCATATTGAAGATTGCAGTCCCTGACCTTCTGCAGCAAATACCTCAGGTCCTCTTCAGTAAGAAATGTTGTTGAGGAGGAGGACTCCAGTCCTGATGCCACATTCTTCATAAAGTTCAGCCTCCCAAATGATCTGTTCTGACTAGAGATTGAAAGATATGGAGACAAGATGCATCTGTGATGCACTCCTTTCCTGATTTTGAACCATGCATTGTTTCTCAGCTCTGTTCAGACAACTGCTTCCTGGTCCAAATATAAGTTTTGCATGAGCACAATTAGATATTCTGAGATTTCTATTCATCTCAAGATTAGCCACAGTTTGTAGTGACCCATACAGGCAAATGCCTTTGCGTAGTCAGTGAAACACAGAGAGACATTCCGCTGGTACTCTGCTTTCAGCCAAGATCCATCTGACATTAGCTAAGATGTCCCTAGCGCCATGGCCTCTTTTCAACCCTAGCTTACACTTCTGGTAGTTCTCTATCAATGTACTATTCCAGTAGTTTTGGATAATCTTCAGCAGGATTTTGCTTCCGTGTTACATTAGTGATATTGTTTGAAAAGTTGCACATTCTGTTGTGTCACCATTTCTGGAATGGGAATAAGTATGAATCTCTTCCAGTGAGTTGGCGAGGTGGTTGTCCTCCAGATAGCTGTGTACATTCCCTGTGTCCTGTCAGTTGTGGTGCATTCCCTCAGTCCTCCAGCAAGCTTGGGTAAAGGCCTCTGGCTCCATAGGGTAGCAGTCCAGATCACCAGTGTGTCATGGCGGTCTCTGGTTCTCTGCTGAGGCTGCTCTGTTCTCCTGTAGGTCCTGGTCTGGGGCTCAGCAATCTTGGGCCCTGAGAGATGTGTGCTAAACTCTCTACTTCCTCTTCTTGCTCGTAGTGACAGTCCCATCTGTGCTGCTAAATCCACTCAGTTGAACTTGATGGGATGGGAAAAAACAGACCTGATCCATACTGATGAATTTATACACCCTGTTTCATATTGTTGTTCCCCACCTCCCATTCCATGGTATAAGTCAAAGCCAGTGGCTGAGAAAGCCATTTTGAACAATAAGCTCATGACACCATCTGACCTGTAGTCACAGGAGCCATTGCTGAGGGGACATGAGGTGTGATCACAGATGTCATTGCTCAGGGTGGTGGGTCATAAGCACAGGACCCAGTGCAGAGAAGGCTGATGGGTTGTGATCACAGGAGTCATTGGTCAGGGGATGGTGGGTTGGTGATATATTCCTTAATGTTGCTTCTTATGAGCCTGACAGATTTTGTAGGACACAGTCACAGGGCCTGAGACACATCAGGCTGTGAGGACTGGGGTCAAACTCACCTCCACTTATCTCACTCTCACAAGATGCCTTGGACTCTCAGACTGCTCCCACCCTTGTACTTGGCCCACAGCAGAGCCATGGCACCAGCGTCCTCAGGGAGGCTGTGTCCATGTGTGCTCTGCATGCTTCTTCATAGCAGACAGTGCTCTGTCAGTACCCTGTGTGAGCAGAAGCTCCCTGAAGACCAGTGTGTATACTGCCAAAACCCTCATAGAGGTGGCCTGAGAGAGGCTGGCTGTCTAGTTG